CCACTAGAATCTTCACCCGGATTGGGAATACTTTTAGCCAGTGAAATAAGTAATGAGTTAGTCATAATTAACAGAGCAGATATAGAATACAAATACTTTTGTATTCCCCAAGAAAATAATATTTTGCTTATTCCAATTCTTCACACTCTTTTTCACGCGTTTTCGAACTAAAATGTTCATATTGGCTGAATCACGTTTTTTCTAATTCTCTAGCCCTTTTTGTAAATAGTTAAAAATCTGAACTAAACTTTTGCCTTTGTAACTTAACTATTAAAAAATATCAAAAATTAAAAAAAAAATCCTTTTGTAACTTAACTATTAAAATATTTAAAATTCAATATGCCAAAAACTTATACTAAATGTCAATAACTATAACTAAAATTAATTATATTTTTAAGCAAACATGGATTTGTCCTTCGAAGAGAGTCAGCTGGATTTTTCCTTTGGTCAATCCCAGGCTTTGGTTACACCCCCAGGAAAATTCTCCATATAATTTTAGTATATAGACATATATTTTTATTTTGTATTTATTTCCAGTGTATAAACTTTAAAAAAAGAAATTTCAGCTGGATTCGGCCTACGATACGAGAGACCTAAGCAAAGAAACACAAAAAGATTTCAATACAGGTAACTTTAACTCGTTGAAAGTATTCGCTTAGTTTTTTTCACGACATTAAAAATATCTTCCATTATAAATGTTTTTCGTTAATTTTTATTTAGACAAAACCGTAATTTTTATTTGAAAAATACCATATATGTTGCAAAAGCTCGGCGAATTACAAAATAATTTTCATCGAAATTTTAAAACTTTTCAATCACTTGTGAAAATACTAAACACCTAATATTTCTGAGTTTTCAGTATTATGAAAAAACTAAAGAACTAATATTTCTGTGAGTAACTGTACATGTTATATTTTTACAATTTCAGAAATCAAGGATCTTTTAGCAAAAATTTTGGAAACTCAAAACGAAATGATGTGCAGACTCGATATTTTGGAGAAAGCTGTAAAGGAAAATGTATGCAGTTCGAGGCAATTTTATATACACAATTTTATTTTCACACTCATATCAAATTCGCCTACACGTATATACCAATTTGCCTTTTTTATTATATTGGAATAGGCGCTTGATAGAGGTGTTTTAATGGCACAAAACCAGAACGTAAGAGAATGCAAGGCCGTGCTCACCAAAGTTCACCACTCTGTAAGCCGTTTGACAGGCGAAGTAGAAGACCGTACACAAATCGAAATAGCAGCTTCATTGCCAATGGTTAGCGTTGACGCCGCATATGAGGTTGAACAAAAATTAAAAGCAAAAGAATATGCAGAAGCAATGGTATATTTTGATCACTTTTTAAATCTTATGGAATTATTCAATAGACCTTTTTTATAATTTACAGAAAATATATTTGTACCAAATTAAAGGCACAAGCGGAACTGTAGATGACGTCTTACGTAAACTTATGGCCGATGAACTTTTGATTTATTCAACTTGGATGGGAGAAAAAATAAAAAGGCATTAATTAAGCTTGTGCTGGTTAATGCATTGTTATTCGGTATGTTGATCTCGTAAAATGTTTATTCCAGAGACCGAAAATAATCGTTATATTTAAAATTGGTTTGTGTTTATTTCTCTTTTTTTATGTATTTTGCTTAATAGTTTGCTGAGATATACAAAGTACTATATTTATATATTTTTTTTGTGTACATCCTTACTTAAAGTAGTCTCAAACGTGGTACATTTTAAAATAAAAGTCGCTTATTCCTTAATTTTTAAGGTACAGAGCTATATAACGTACCATCAAATTAAGGAATAATGGTGCATTTACATGGTATGAATCTGTTCATAAGCCGTATGAATTTTCCTATAAAAGAAGCACCAACTCTATGAAGAAGTGAATGAAAGCGATATATATTTAACAATTTTGACTTGTATACTAGACAATATTTTTTTTGTAAATAACAAATAAAAAAATTGTATTTTGTGCTAGCTTCGAAACTAAAAGCTTATTTTTTTGTTAAATGTGCTTTAAAAATGACCTAATGCCAATAAAGCCTTGTGGATTGCTATTTTTCCATATTTGTAATGCTTCCATTTAAACATCTTTGTGGAAAAACAGTTTTTTGTTCAGAATTGCTTGTTTACGAAACGTTTGGCATAAGTTGAAATCATAGGGATGCCGTTTTCTTCCGTTTCTCAGTGGATTTTATACTTGAAAAGGCACCAAAATATGTATGCAATACTTCTACATATCTTCGTTTAAAGCATAAAACCGCGCATCAAGGAAATGCAAAACCTCGTATGGGAGGTTGCCTAAATTTTAAAAACGGTTCTCTCTTTTAAACTTAATAATCTTCTCTCCTTATGTCTAAGTCGATATTTTATTATAAATGGCTAAGGGCTTGATGTCAGGAGCTTCCGATGACCAAATATCTTTTTTGGCACAAATTTCAGTTCCGAGGTTTTGCAGAACCACGATACGCGCTTTTGTACTTTAAACGACGAATATGTATATCGCTTGAACAATATGTTAGCGTTTGGCCTAGCTTCTCCTCCGATATGCGGCGTGGGTGATTTTGTCACACAAAGTAAAGGACAGTTTTACGCCGACTCCGAACGGCAATTGTATTTTAATGAGAAGTTGTTTCCATGACAGAATACACTCGGAGGTTTACTCTTACCAACAGAGGGGCAACCACTATTAGAAAAACTGGGCTTGAACTCAGGCTCTGCGTAATGCTCTACAGCAGCCGCCACTACTTTTACATATATTGCTGGTATATTCAAAATACTATCCCGAACTTCGGAGTGTATATATGTAATATAAAAGAGAATGAGAGGTACTATAAGAAAATGTACCCAAAATTCTGGAGCAAATGAAAAAATGCTCATTGAAAATAGTTCACATGTATAAATTAAAAGATATAACTTAATAGGTTACAGCGCTAAACAAAAGGAAAAGTTAGAAAAAATAGCGATGCGGTTTGAAGGAAACATGAAGCCATAAAATGCTTGTTTGTTTCGTTAATACTCTGAACTTTGTAAGATATGGCACTCTATTATTTGCAGTAGTTTGCAAATATTCACTAATGGTTCTAAAATCGC